GCCTCCTGAGTAGCTGGGATTACAGGCATGCGCCACCATGCCCAGCTAATTTTTTGTATTTTTAGTAGAGACGGGGTTTCAGCATGTTGACCAGGATGGTCTCGATCTCTTGGCCTCGTGATCCACCCGCCTCGGCCTCCCAAAGTGCTGGGATTACAGGCTTGAGCCACTGCGTCCGGCCTAATTACCTAATTATTAAGCACTACTTAATACATGCAAAATTTCAATATTACAAAAAAGTAATCACAAGAGATACTCCATTTCAATAGTGTATGGTCGAATCATATTCCCAGTTCTGTTAAAAGGGAAGAGTTTTCAGTACAAACTTACTGATCACTGTTAGATAAATATGACAAATATTAAAGAGCTGTGCTATGGGAAAAAAGGAAACTTTTTTTTTTTTCAGACGGAGTTTTACTTGTTGCCCAGGCTGGAGTGCAGTGTCACAATCTTGACTCACCAAAACCTCCACCTCCCGGGTTCACACGATTCTTCTGCCTCAGCCTTCCAAGTAGCTGGGATTACAGGTCCCTGTCACCACGCCTGGCTAATTTTTGTATTTTTAGTAGAGACAGGGGTTTCATCATGTTAGCCAGGCTGATCTCAAACTCCTGACCTTATGTGATCTGCCTGCTTTAGCCTCCCAATGAGCTGAGATTACCGGCATGAGCCACGGCACTCAGCTAAAAGGAAACTTTTTAAAGAAACATTAGAAATTCAGTCTATTGTTTACAACCCTTAATAAAAACTTAAGAGAGATTTTTGTAAGACCAAAAACTTCAGAAGTTCTGGACTATTTTCTTGGGACTGACAGAAAACTTCCAGAATTGAAAAATGCTCAGGCTGGGCATGGTGGCTCACACCTGTAATCCTAACACTGTGGGAGGCTGAGCCAGGTGGATCACTTGAGGTCAGGAGTTTGAGACAAGCCTGGCCAACATGGTGAAACGCTGTCTCTACTAAAAATACAAAATTAGCCAGGCATGGTGGCATACACCTGTAATCCCAGCTACTTAGGAGGCTGAGGCAGAATTGCTTGAACCCAGGAGGCGGAGGTGGCAGTGAGCTGAGATTGTGCCACTGAACTCCAGCCTGGGCAACAGAGCAAGACTCTGTCTCAAAAAAGAAGAAAGAAGAAAAAAAAGAAAATAAGTGCTCAATCCAAAATGATTTGCAATAATACTTAAGTATTCAGAAAGGACAACTTCAAAGGCTGGATAAGGTATCATTTTCTCTTTAACAAACATTCCAGAAAAGAATGTCACTACAGCTCTTTATAAACTAAAACCACTGTTTAGATTTTATCTCAAAATTAAATAGTAATACAACCATATATTCGTATAAATAAATAACTGCATCTTAAAAAGTTAAAGCATTTCAAATCTTCCTAGGAATTATTTTAAAAGCTTTAACTGTTATACTATATACACATATATATACATACTAACATATGACTATATATAACAATAATATAAACTATATAGTGTGTGTGTGTGTGTGTGTGTGTATATATATATATTTTTTTTTGAGACAGAGCCTGCTCTGTTGCCCAGGATGCAGTACAGCAGTGCCAATCTCTGCTCACTGCAACCTTTGACACCCGGGTTCAAGCGATTCTCCTGCCCCAGCCTTCCAAGTAGCTGGCATTAAAAGCACACGCCACTACACCCAGCTAATCTTTGTATTTTTAGTAGAGACAGGGCTTGACCACGTTGCCCAGGCTGAACTCAAATTTCTGACCTCAAGTGATCCACCCACCTCAGCTTCCCAAAGTGCTGGGATTACAGGCATGAGCCACTGCACCCGGCCTACAATATATAGAGTAGACATGCTTATGCATACTCCTTTATACAGTAACTCTTATATACACTAATGTAGCAATAGCATATTTACACTATAAACTATACGATGTAATTACATATGCATTAACACATAACATATACATACATATTTACTCATGCATAGCCATTTGCATAGGTTTTTGGGTTTTTTGTTTGTTTTTAGAGACAGAGTCTCACTCTGTCATACAGGCTTTACAGCAGTGATGCAAAAATAGCTAACTGCAGCCTCAAGACTCCTAGGCTCAAGCCATCTTTCCTCAGCCTCCTGTATATAGTGTGTTCTATTTAACTAATGAAAAAATAGCTTGAGGTGGTTAACTGCTATATAGAATAATGATTTTTAACTTTGCTAAACCTTAAACACTACTTGTATATTTGATTCCTGAATACCATATCAGCTTTCTAAAATATTGCTGTGTATTTTCAAATAATTTTAAACTCCAGTCTTAAAAGTTTTTTTTCCAATTAAAATTTGCTGGGTGCAGTGGCTCATGCCTATAATCCCAGCACTATGGGAGGATCACTTGAGTCTAGGAGTTTCAGACCAGCCTGAGCAAGACCCTGTCTCTACAAAAGAATAAGAAATTAGCAGGGTGTGGTGGCATGTGCCTATTGTTCCAGCTACTGAAGAGGCTGAGGTGGGAGAACTGTTTTAGCCTGGGAGGTCAAGACTGCAGAGAGCCTTGATCACACCACTCCACTCCAGCCTGGCTGACAGAGTGAGATCCTATCTCCAAAAAAAAAAAAAAAAACTCCTCAAGCAGTGAGGCAGTGTCACAACCAGCTTGGTAAAATAGCAACAAGAGATTTCTTCAGATTCAGCAAAGAGAGATATTTTGTATAGAAATTAGAACTCAAACCCTTAAATCCCAGCTTTTTTAAAATACCACATTATTGTATCAGCAAGTTAAAAATGGTAATTGGTAAAAAGCATTTACCAATTATGAGAACTATGGGGAAAATATGAGATTTTTCTACCACTATCAGATGTTCCAACGTTAAAAGTTTTAAAGACTTAGATGTCGAGGCAAACTTGTATTTCCATCAGTTCTGACAACTGCCTGTGTTTACAAAACAATTTATATGGTATCAGTAAAAGACTGAAGTAAAGACCACTAGGCCAGGTGTGGTGGCTCACGCCTACAATACCAGCACATTGGGAGGCCGAGGTGGGTGAATCACCTGAGATCAGGAGTTTGAGACTATCCTGGCCAACATGGTGAAACCCTGTCTCTACTAATGATACAAAAAGTATCCAGGTGTGGTGGCTTGTGCCTGTAATCCCAATTACTTAGGAGGTTGAGGCAGGAGAAACACTTGAACCCAGGCGAGGGAGGCTGCAGTGAGACAAGGCTGCACCACTACACTCCAGCCTGGG